TAGATTAGTATTGAGTACCAATTACTCGGGGCTCGATGTTAATGGGTAAAATTTTCGATTGGAAGGAGCTAGGTAGGAAACTGGTTTTTGAAGCCTCCTTCAGATACTACTCTCCGACGGTTGACCAAATCCTGGCTGGGCAGTAAGTAGCACAGAAACAGGAGGATAATAAGACTGGGACACAATGGCTGGAAATTGTTTCGAAAGGAGGGGATGATCAAATCAAACTCTAACATCAGACAAATAAAGGAATTCGTAGATCGCCTACATGTATGGAAGATCACGGGTTTTCAATACATCTCTTACTAGAGTATCCAACAGTCGTGCTCTGGAGGCGTCATTACCAGGACAATACCAAACTGCGTGATCAATGTCATCATAACCGGTTCTGCACCTACATATATTGCTGTCAACGAGGTTTATTCTGTAGAGATGTGCGTCTAGCGAGTAGTGGTCGGATATAAGTCTTGACATCACGCGGATGAAGCCCCGACTTACATCCAGACCTTTGAACCATGCTCTCGAAGAAACATTTGGAATAATGGAATGTAACCACCGCCCAAGAAAGTTACTTGTCCAATCGTTTTGCCAACTTAGAAGAGAACTCTGACGTACAAATGGGAAAAATTCATCATGAAAAATTCTTCTATCATAAATCTCGCCTTGTTGTGCGCCCACCTTTGCGAGAGAGACTGCCTTCTCCTTGCCTGGGATTGAGTAATGTGAGGAGACCCATACAAAAGCAATCATATATGATCTTTCGACCAACAAACTCATCTGCTCTCTTACCTTTGAAAGGAATTAAGATGAGTGCTTACCTTGTTTCATCGACCGAATAGCTTCAATCAAACTGAGACTATCCGAGAAGATGAAGTCATGGTCTATGGGCATGTCGGAAATCATCCCCAATGCGAAGTTTTTTGCACGCAATATTTATCTGATTTGTTTATAGGAAGCAAGTTTTTGTAGTAAAAAATATGTCTTCTGCACAATAAACAGTACACCTTATTCGTATAAAAACAAGTTCAAAATGTGTACTAATAATTAATATTTCATTAATTTTTTGTTGTTGAAATTTTTATGTTTGACGGAAATTACAACTTTTCCTAAGACGTAAATTTGATAAGGTGAGCCTTTTTTGTGCTGTGATTTATTGAAAAATATGGAATATGCAATTTTGAAAAATAAGGCCTGAGTCAAAATAGCCGAATTTGGGCACAAATTTGATTTAAACAAAAATATATATGGTTAACTACCCCATTTCTGGCCTATTAAGCACAACCCGCACTTAGTTTTTATTTATCTAGCGCAGTTTAGCACCAAACGGAATGTTATTATTACTGATGACTTCCAAAATTATTTACCTTTCCGTAAGATTTGATAAAGAGAAACAAATCGTTGAGATATTGTCAAAAGTCAAACACTGCTTCTTGACGCCAAATTCGGCCTACGGATTCTAAACTCGGCATAATGCATTGAAACGCCAATGAATTTACTTCGGCCTATCGGATGATGATAAAAATTGATTCGGTCGGAGCGCTTCTTTTGTTTTTGGGAATTATGGATGCAAACCTTCATATCACGCGCTCTCATTGACTTCGTTCCGTAGCTTATTAATTAAAGTATCGTACCAAACCCATAATTGACTTGTGAACTCTGAAATCATGGATTTATTTGAAGTTTACTCCTCGATAGGCCCAAAATGGACGATTAGGCCGAAGTAGTTCTCTACCCTATATATTTGAAAAAAAAAAAACAATTTCAAAACCGATATAATAATTTAAACCACACAGAAAATGAAACTGGAGGTCGCAAACTATGATCCTGCGGAATAACAATTGAGGTACATTCACTTTTTTATAAAAGTCGTCTTTAAACATAGCGTGAGAAGCCATGCGTCTCCATCATTTGGAAGTATCTATGCTTCCTGAATGAAACTTTCCGACGGACAAGCAACTTGCGTACAATGCTTCATACAAGCTTGCAGTTCAAAACCCCTCTTTATCGACAGTGATTCCATCCTAGGCATGCGCACAGAATCCATCGGTTGCCTGAGTGGTATATAGCTGAATGTGACTGCGTGCGCTAATCAATCCGCCAACCAAATTCCTTCGCTCGCTGCAAACTAATTTATTCAACGAAAATTGTTTAGATAAATACAACCACAACAACGCAGTCGGTTATTCGTTTGACGGTTTTATTTGCATCTTGAATTAGAGTGAATACAATAACAACAAAATAATATCGTTAATTGGCACTGCGGTTTTATGACACTTTAAGCATTAAAATCTTTACCTTCGAACAAATTTACCATTTGCCATTCACATTTAAATTGCTTTTATTTGCAGAGATATAACAAAGAGTCTTAAACGATTGCTAGGCTTTTGTGATCTCCTCAGAGCTGTTAGGTTTATTCCAAAAGATTAAAATTGACAATGGCACATTTTCCGTCGTTGTTCCCCAAATACAAAGTGTTAACTGTCTTGTTAATGGTTTTTAAGTAAACTGCGGGTCTCCTACGGGTTTAACTTCGTCTTATAGCTAGTTGCATTTTCAAGAAAATTTTCAGACAAACATCGTTAGCTTCCTCACATAATGCTACAAGGCATGGCACAACACAGTGGAAGACAAACTGGCACGACGGCTGCTCCGGACTTGGATGTGGTCTTGGATTTGCTCTCCGCTTCGTACATGTACTTTCCACTGGCCTTGGCATATTCGCCCTGCAAAAAAAAAAAAATTGTTTTTGAATGAAGCAGATTTAATGTAATTCGCAGCCGAGAGTTTCTAACAACGAACCTGAGCTCGCCACGCTGCAGCTTCGCTTTCCTTCTTCGCAAACATTTCATGTCCGGGAGGATAGTAGACCGGAGGTCCAGCCACATTCTTCGATGAAATGGGGACATTTTTGCTATCCAGCGGTTCTTCCACTATGGTTACCTTCGGTGGCGATGGCTCCCGGTACTTTTTCGGTCCAGTTCCATTTTCGGTATGGTGAGTGTGCTTCGACGTGTAGGTAATTTGACCGTTCTGAAATCGGAGTGAGACTTTGTGTTAACATAACTGTAGGTAATAAAAACTTACAAAATTTGACGTTATGTTGGGAAACTATTATGGTATTATGGTTTGTGATGGGCAATCATTCACATTTTTGCTAAAATTCGGCCATTCGGCACGAAAATGTCACTTCTGATTGAAATGACATTTGAGACAAAGTCCTGAATATAAGTAAAGTCTTTCGGAGAAAAATATTTTGATTATTTTGAGGAAAAAAAATGAACAAAATATCTTGTTAAGTATATGTTTCATTTTAAAAGGTTTATTTTTTTTCTAAATGCTCATGAAAAAATGCAAACTTTTAAATATTTTAAACCACGAGCGCTTGAAAATTGACCAAAAAACGTTCAACCTCAACTTTTGGCCATATTTTTAAACTTATTGTTAGCAAGCTTATTTATGTAACTTTTACACAGAAAGCAGTTTAGAATGTCTCAAATATTACTAGAAAAAAAAAAAAAAAAAAAAAAAAAAAAAAAAAAAAAAAAAAAAAAAAAAAAATATGACCAAAAATTCGCCGATTTTTGTGAAGAGCTTTGAGTGTGTTGGTTTATTTCCTTTAAATTTCTTTATAATTGCTTATTTTTTGCCAAATACGTGTATTTCGTCTGCTACTTGCATACTTCATCAGTGCCAAGTACTCAACACCACTATTAAAATTCAAATGGTTTGCATATTTTAAAATTTCAATGGTTTGCATTTTTTATGAGCCTTTTTTATAATCATAAAGATTTATGAGATTTTATATGAGATATTTAAGTTTTACAACTTTGTTTGGAATTTGTGCTCGAAATTACCAAAAAAGTACTGTGAATATTTTTCCAGAGAGACTTTATTTGTCTCTACAACTTTGTCTTTGGCGTCATTTTGTTGTGTTGGCAACCCAGAATTGTTGACAGTTTGAATTTTGTATTTGCATTTGGACTATGGGCAGTAAGTCCGTTACCCTACTACCGTATGCATGATAATAATTGCACCATTCAGCAATGTCAAAATTAAAAAAATTCTCGAAAATTTCGTTTTCGAGTTTTTTTTTATTTATTCAAAGGGCGGATGTTTCTCAGAGTCTTAAACTATGCTAATCATTGATCGAGTTTCCACTTGCTGCAATTACGGCCTCCACACGCTTCCGGAATGCACGGCAGGTTCTAATAATGTAGTCTGGATCCATTTCTCTCCAGATACGGGTCAATGTTTGTCTGAGGCTTGCTGTACTCGGGTGGCGTTTAGAACAGGCCTTGGCCTTCATGACGCGCCATATTGAGTAATCCAGTGGATTAAGATCGGGGCTGGATGGCGGCCACATATCCTTCGCCCAGAACGGAAGATGTTCCTGCAACCACTTCTGAGTGCGGTTCGAGGTGTGGCACGGAGCCCCATCTTGTTGAAATTGCCACCAATCCAAACACCATAACGCTAGCAGGATGCTTGGTCAGATACACGTTTTTGTGCTCGTTGGCCACGTCTTTTACCGGAAGAGAACTAATATACCGGTCGGTTCTGGAATTTGATACGGGATCGACGGTAAGCATGCTCTCGTCGGTGAACAGGATTACCGGATTTTTTCGCCTAAGGAAGTTCAAGATTTTCTTGCATCGTTCGACTCGTAGCTCCCGGATGCGGTTGGTAATCATGTGAGTTTTTTCCGTGCCCTCGACTTTGCCCCGCAATCTTCCTTTACGATCTTCACTGTCAAAATCACTGATCCCGTGTTCCTTTGCCATTTTCCTTATTGAACGCACTAGATTCACCCGAATCTTCCTTTTGATAGCAGCGATAACGCTCGGAACCCGAGCTGACCTCGGACGACCTGTGGCCACCTTTGCGGATAGTTGTCTTCTATTCTTGGTCTAAAACCCTTTTGACGGTCCACCGGGACACTCCCACGGCGATGGAAATGTCTTTTTGCGACATTTGCGCGTGGGACAAATCACGAATACGCTGCCACTTCGTCATGGTGCAACTTTCAAACTAAGTAAATCATTTTCTTTTATACACAGCCTACTACGGTATGAGCTATAGGTAACGTGGTAGGAAACGTCATTTTAAACTGCTCGAATTATATGATACATTGTTCTCCACTCCATCCAAGGTTTCTCAAGGTAAATTTCAGGAACTTTTTTCTGAATTAACCAATTTATTTGAGCAGTTAAAATGATGTTTATCACCACTCGAACTTTGAAATAAAACATTATTTTGAGATTTTTCTTCTAGAACCACGAGAAAAGTAGCCAACATTTGTGCGTTTCATAAAAAAGTAGAAATTAGTTGTTCTACTTTTGTGAAATCGCTGGTAGAAAGTCACGCCAAAACTGCTTGACAAAGTGGTCAATTACCTCTAGCATCGCATACCTAACCTAACGAGACTAATAAGTCGCCACCGATATCGAAACCTAGTAACAACAAGTTGAACGCAAACTTGATCATACATGTTTTGTAGTATAAGGAGCTCGGTGGCCTAGCGGTGACCGATTTTGCTTACCGAGCAATATACCATGAATTCAATGTCACGCTCCTTCGCGCTATTGAATCGTTAGGACATCAATCATCATCAGTATGTCGTTTACCAAACCAAATTCTGCTGCAATCCCAACCCTTTTATCCAACATTCCAGTGATTTCTTGCGGAAGGGCAGAGGTGTTCTTGGCTTTCTTTTAAACGATTATTAAGTCAACATATTCCTACCCATTTCTTTCTTAACCAGAGCAACGTCTATTGGTTCTCTGTGTGATTGCAGCTGCTCTGGCAATAACGGAGTTGCATCCACGGGTGGGCAATCATGCATATTATGCTCATGCTCATTTTCATTTTTGTTTTTAAAATTCACAGTGTTAAATGGTGCAAACATTATCACGCATACATTATCTCCAAACCCGTAAGAGACACCTCTCTGGAATTTCCACCAGTGAAAGATAAGAAATATTGAAACATGAAAAAATACTAGAAAAATTAAATAGGGGAAATGGATGTAATGTTGGCGTAAATGCCCCTAATTTGGGCGCATAATTAAATTCTGCAATCGACTAAATTTTCAATAGTGACCAAAAATATCCATTAGTACTGTCCCAATGACGCGTTCATCTAGATCATATTGATAAATAGATCCATAGGCCAACATTAGAGCCATTTCCCCTATCTTGTCAATGATTTTTCTTGATTTCGTTGCTATTTTTCTTCACCATTCAAATTTTCGTGGACATTTTTTTCCGATTATATATTTTATAGATTGCTGAGATAATTTGCTTATCCTTTCTTTTCAAAATGATCTTTCTCAAACTAAAAAAATACTCAGTGATCCCTTAATACTGATAGAGCGGAGCACTAATTCGGCATATGGGAACCATTTCCATCAACACGAAGACAAACGAAGACAAAACAACGAAGACAAACAGCTACATTCAACTTCCATGCATCAATTCTTTGCTTCATAGTTAAATTACGAATGTAAAAAAAATGTACGGCACTGTCGGAAGAGTGATTCAAAGGGTGTGCGTCAAAGTTAATTGAGGTATGCCGCACCCTATGACGTAGAAGTTTGGTCGATATAGGATATTGTATCGATAAATATGCTGCCATTCCACAGAAAACGATATAGTGGTTCTTAGAATTTCGTTAAAATATTAGACCCGTATTTTTTTATTTTAGCATTAGGGTGATCATTTCCATGTTAGGGTAGCCCAATTATTTTTTTTTTCAAAAATGACTTTTTCAAATAAATCATAACTTTTAAAACACCAGGTCAATTTTAAAGATCGAAGAACCAAATGAAAGACAATTAATAACACTTTTTACAAAAACGTATAATAATCACATTTAAATTGAAATGTTCTTTTGAAAATCATTGATTGACTTATAAATGACTTTAAAAAAATGTGAACCACCAGGTCAATTGTTAAGATCAAAACACCAAATAAAAGATAATTAAAAACAATGTTTTTTGAAAATTTACAATAATATTAAAACGAAATTTTGTATTGAAAAAAAAATGATTGTTTTTGTTTTTTAAGGGTTTTCATGATTTGTAGACAGAGGGCGCAATATATTTTTATAAATTTCCGTGAAAATTTAGGCTTTTTCCACAACATAAAAAAAATCAGCGATGTTTTTTTTTGAGTTACATATTTTTGAAGTTATCAAATTTAGGGTTTTCGCTTAATACTCCTATGTGACTAGACTACCATGCGTCTCCATTGATTTATTGCGACTGTAACATGGTCACAACGAATGGTAGTCTTTTAGTTAACTTTCATTTGATATTTTAATCTTTGTAAATTGACCCAGTGGTTCAAAAGTCGAAAAAAGCAATTTTTGAAAAAAACCGATTTTTTGGACCACCCTAACATGATAACCCTAATGACAAAATAAAAAAACACGATATTGCGATAGGTTGCAAAAGTACCAAATTTTACGAAATTCTGAGAACCACTACATTGTATGGCTATGAAATGGCTGCATGAGCATATAATAGCCATATTATAGATAATATCGATATCTGCTCAACCCACGGGACTTACATGCCTATCTCTACAAGCAACAACTGGTAGTAGTCAACATAAGCGAGGGCTCATAATGTGAGCCCAGCCTGACAACGTATGCATGCGCATGTGTTACCATGGAAACCAGACATGTTATACCTACTTTGAATGCTGGCTACAATACGGATGCGACATGCCAGGTCCAAGGTTGCAAAGACTCATTTCAGCTAAAATAATGTTTTTCGGAATAATAAAACCAAAAGATGGTATGATGGCATGTTTTACTTGTAACTTACAAGAAGAAGTTACAAAGTATGCGTTGGAAACATAAAACCTGTAAATTTTGCTTTCTATGAGTCACAATCAGCGATTTGCTGATCGCTGAGTGAGTGAGTGAGTGAGTGAGTGAGTTTGTGAAAAATCGCTGATTGTGACTCTCATGAAGTGAAATAAACAGGTTTAATATGTCAAACACATTCTTTGCAACCTCTTCTTGTATCCTACCAATTCAAAATTTGATCATGGCATCTAATTATTTCATAATTTAGAAAAACATTGTTTTAGCTGAAATGAGTCTTTGCAACCTTGGCCAGGTCCTTTTAGGGCCTCCCTTAGCTCTGTCGGTAAAGGCGCAGCTACAAAGCAAGACCATGCTAGAGGTGGCTGGGTTCGATTCCCGGTTCGGTCTAGGAATTTTTCGTGTTGGAAAATTTCTCGACTTCCCTGGGCATAGAAGTATGATTGGACTTGCCACACAATTATACTTATGCAAAAATGGTACAGGCATCGAAAGCTCTCAATTAATAACTGTGGAAGTGCATCTAGAACAGTAAGTTGAGAGCACGCAATAGGCTAATATGCGAAATGCAATAAGCTTGAAATGCGAAGAAGAAGAAGAAGAAGATGTCAGGCCCTTGGCACAACCCTACTCCTACTGAAATTAAAGAAGAAAAAATGTTATGTAATTTCAAATTTTTTCTTCAGAGTGATTTCTAGGAAATTACAGTGAAATATCGTAAAAGGAAAGATGACGTCTACTCTGAAGGGGAAGGGCTATAATTTGCCATAGCACGTGTAATAGGTATGAGAAAAAGCATGAAATAAGGGATGGGGGGCTTCAAGATTCGAAAATATTGTGGTTGTCATATTTGAATGGATCTGTTTACTCGGCAGCAACCATTGTGTGGTCTTCCTCATTGTTCTTCATCAGCAGTTCTTTCAGGCGATGCGTCGTCGACTTTGGAAAGCACCCGTTTAGTGATGATTGTGTGAGTGCTGACCACGTTTTGCGTCCATTGCTGCAATGGAAGCGCTCTGACCCCCATTGGCGATATTGCCATACAATGCAACAACTGAAAACGGCATCCCATTCTGATGGAGCAGGCTTATTGGATAGCGGAAGATAAAGTTTTTGTTGTGTTGTACCTTTTGACTATAGTTTTACGAAGTTTTATAAAGTGAACAAGGATCATCGGCTCTGTAAAGTTAATTCGATTGAGCCTTATCACATAAATTAATAATCAAAGAACGAAAGAAAATAGAGTAATTTCCATCTAAAGTTTGGCAAACTCCATATGAAATACATACTTAGAAATACCTAATTTTACACGTGATGGAATCCATCTTTGACATAAAGGATGAGACATGTTATTTAAATTTAATTGCTCCGAGGCTGAAAAGATCGTTATTCGACGAAAAGTACGTTTAATTGAGTTTAATTTTGCGTCTATTATGACTCAATTTGTCTATGTCAAATTGACGCTCGCATATGTCGCATATGCGTACCTAAATTTGCATGAATTTTTCTAAGTGTGTATATAGATTCTTCAAGAGGATGAATTCTGAAAACTTGAAGGTCACCCATACAGCTAAACAACTGTTGAGAAATTCCATCTTTTTCTTGTAAATTTTATGCCAATGTTAACACATGTAAATTACCAAGAGAAAACGTGTAATACCATATGATTTACATGGAAATTATATAATGCACATGATCATCATGCAAGTTTACATGATCTGCATGTAAAATTACATGACAAGTTTGTTAATTTACATGTTTGAGACAGTTACATACCCAAAGTTATAAAATTACATGTACAATTTCATTACAAGCTCAATTTTTATCGTTTGTAGCAGACTACGTCGCATGTTATTTTTTCATTATTTTTTAGCGTGCAGCAAATTTTGAAGTAAAGAAAACGAACGTATTTTTTTCTATCTCACCTCTCCAAGCGTGGCCATCAGATCTTCAACCCGTTTGGGGGGATTTCCATCGATCTCGCTCTGTGGGATACCGTCCGTCGGGAATGGCTGCAGCAGTGGTTCTCGCTCTGACGGCGGAGGGTAGATGTTCCTGGAGGCATTGCTGGTAGTCGAACTGTATTTGTACGTCACTGTTGTTGGCTGGGGGGGATCCCTTGGGTACGTTCCATTGCGATCCGGGTAGTCCCCGTACGGAACTGGGGATCCGTATCGATTGTTTGCAGTGTTGGTACGTTCCTCGCGGTAGATGTAGGTGTTCGGTCCTGGCGGGTAGGGAGGTTGGTCACCGGCTGGTGGAGCTCCAATGGCCTTGAAATTAGTTGGATGAGGTCCTGGTCCGGAGGGATACTCGGGATAGTAGTTGGTAGTTGACTGCTTGGTATCTTTCTTGTAGTAGATTGTTTTGGCCGTATTAGGTGGCAACTGGTGATCGAGAATTGTTGGTACCGGGTATTCTTGAACGTTGTTGGATGAGTTGATTGTTTCATTCTTGACCAAGACTGTCTTGGAGCTTGGATTGACGTGATGCGTTGGTGATAACTCACGCTCTGGGTAAGCTACCGGCAAGGTGTTAGCAGTTTGATTGAACGATTCGTTGCGATATGATAAGGTCTGATTCAACTCACTGTCCGGCGGAAGTTCATATGTATAGGTGCGTACCTTGAACGAAAATAAACGTAGATCATTCAAAATTCACGTAGCGGAAATTACTGATTAACACTCACGGTGGTGGTCACCTTCGTATTCGGCCGCGGCAGAATGCCTTCCGAGAGGGAAATATTGGCCAGTGCCTTGGCAGCCGGAGCCGTGTCCACACTGACCGTTTCGTTGTAGTGAACATTCCGCGGGACATGGTCCGAGTTTGGTGAAACGGTTCTCGTTTCGGTGTAATACTGTTCGGATCGGACGGGTGTTGCCGTGCGGGATCGGTTGATACCTCCGTAGATTCCGCTGCTGTCGGAGCTGTAGGAAACGTTCTTCACTGTGGTGGGAGCATTCTCGTACGATGGACTTCGCTGCCGGGAACGAGACTGACGGACTTCGTAGCTCCCAGGGGAATCGAAGACCAGCTCCCGGGAGACCGGTTGCTTACCACCGGCCGATGAGTATGTGGTGGTGGTTTTGATGATTTTCGTTCCAGGTTCACTGTGAAAAGCAGAAAATGGAGCTTAGGTGAACATTTTATAAACCGACATCGAGTTTATATCTTACTTTAATCCTGAATCAACCCGATGGAGGCTTCGTTGGCCTGAAATGATACAAAAAAAAAATGCTTAGGCTCATTTCGTATCAATGGGTTTTGTAGATATCACATATTATATTATCAGGCATGATGCTAACATTACGCTTAATTCGTAAAAATACAAGAACTGAATTTCGTACAGACGTAAAAACTGCATACGAAAATCATTCGTTAATTCGTGAAACTACAAAACTATTCGTTCACTTACGAAAATCATTCGTGTATTCTTGCATTGGACGCTCATTTTTATTACCAACCAATTCGTGTGTGGTACAGAGTGTGTGACAGCTGTGTGACAGCTAGAAGAATATATTCGTGAGTGGACGTTTCTGGATTCGTTCAACATCATCATTGGACTATGGAAGTGTTGTGTTATTTTTTTGGCCCGATCACCGGCGTCGATGCAGCTTTGCAGCTGCAGCAAACTAAATCCATCATCAACTAATCCTAATTTTATGTCAATCTTTGCCCGTGAATTTTTCGGTGGACATAGACCGTATAGAGATCTTGGACACAGCCTACTCAAAAAATCCCCAAGGTCATCGCATGGATGTCATTCGAAGCAGGATACTTTATCGAGACCGTTTCACTGACTGGTCGGGAAGGCGTTAGGCTGTTCATTGGAGACATGCTGCGGTGCCGTAGGATATGGCCTTTGGTGCATGCCGCGGTTTTTAGAAGCTACTGGTGCAGAGTGAAGGAACCACCATGTGATGGATTTATTTTAAATATTAAATATTCAATTCAATCAAGTTTTTATTATGACTTCCAAAAAAAGACAGTTTTCTTTTCCAGAGAAATGATCGTGATACTTTGTATTGATTTTCGTAAAATGTTAACATATTTTTTGTGAGTATACGGATGATTCGTTATATTTTCATTCTTTCTATTTTTTTCACACGAATATATCCATCCTTAGTTTAAAAAAACTAAAGGGTTGTGTCCTAGACACGACCGCAGCATGGCGTAGAACTACGCAAAATTGATGCATGCATTTTAGACTACTGCATTTTTGACTTCTTTACTTTGCATTTTTGACTACTTTATTCTGTCTTAATCTTTTTAAAATCTTTCTAAAATGTAATAAACTATGAAAATTCAAATATGGAATCCTAAACAAGCCTTTATATATTTTTGAGTAGCATCCCAGTATAGTCCACAAAGCCACCATGCATGTTGTGGAATAAAACAATTGCCAAAAAAAACATTAATTTTTTTTTTCAGTAGCTCCATCATTAGCTTTAAATTAGATTTCTGAAGCAGAGAAGAAAGTGAAGACGGTACTTTATCTTCTTCTTTCCTTTATTTAACGTTGGTCTCTGTTCCACAATCTAGTGCCAATCACCGATGGACATCGATTGCTATCCATTGACGGCAATCGAATGTGCAGGAAGGCAGCTTCCACACCTGCGTAGGATATCGCACCCATTCAACACACATGGGCTGGGACCAACGGCTTTACTTCCCTTCCGAAGGAAGACGTGACCAGAGATTTTTATGCCTCAGAAAAATCCCACCGACCTCGGCTGGTATTGAACCCAGACCCATTGGGGTGTGAGAAAGCAGTCACGCTTACCACTACACCACCGGCGCCGGCTAAGACGGTACTTTAAATATTGAACAAAATGTTGGTTCATATGTCAACGAAGTAGGGGAGGAAGAGGTATAACGATCATACGGGGTTTAAGCACCTCTTTGTTCTCCAATTTGGAGGACAACCCTAACATAAAATTATCATGCATCATCATTATGTAGCTTACAGCGTGTTCGTAGAATGATTCTAAATAGAATACTGTGTATTTTCTCAAATCAAACGTCTGGTTTCCAATAATTACATTAATTGAAAATTAGGGAGATTAGGAGAAGGCATGAGGCAAATTGTGACCTCAAACGAATAAAACTTATCATGTGACACTTCAAAGTTCAATTGTAGTCATTTGAAGGGCCCTGTTCCACATTGGCCACACCTGGACATGTTTCGATACCCTTGAAAAAGTGGCCAGTTTCTGAATATGATCTCAAACCACTCTCACATTAAAATTCAAGAACCAGTTCAATGGCAGTTATTCGGAATAGCCAGGATCCAGTCAATTTCCAGAAACACCATGGAAAGTCTTGGATCTTAATCCATTATGCGATGCTTCAAATCACATGAGAATTCAACTACTTCCTCTATGCACTGTTTAAGAAAGTTGTGACTAGGAAAGTAAACAGAAAATTATGTTGCTGCGTGCGAAGGAAATTGTAAACAAACCGAAGCACACATGACAGCCAATGCAAGAACTAACTAGGTCCAACCATGATACAAATATACATTAGAAATTTTGCCAAATATTCAATCTTTTCAATAAAATAATGCAATAATAGTCTGCTAGCACGAAGTTTACATCTGTAAGCAGTATTAAACTGCACAAAAACTTTGAAAATAAAAGTAAACATTCCACTTGTGGACGTTCTAAAGCGAACCCTGTTTATGACAAAATTAATTAAAAGTGAGCTATATTTGAAAACATAATAAAATCAAAATAACGTTAATCATTAAAACAAATCTTTTTCTTTATAGTAATGAGCTTTAAGAAGAAGTTTCTTAGACTTTCTTGGACTAAATTAGCGCTGGTAAAAATAGATCCAACCAAAATTTATAGCTCCATAGGTTGTTACAAATTAATTTGAATTTCTCCAGCGTCCCAACCAGTAGATGGTGAACTGAAGGGGTGTTAACATCTGTGCGGATTTGCTAGCGCCACGCCGTCCAAAGCGAAAATGAGCTTAGACACGACAGCAGCGCTGGTTAAAGCAGAACGATGTGGAACTAAGGATACTCGATTATGACGACTGAACAAATTTTTTTATATATATTTTAATTTATTGCAGCAGCTTCGTAAAGTAATATCCTATCGATAGGCGTATTTGGATTTTAACTTCAACTATAAATGACAAAGTTACAAGCGTTCAAAACCTAACACTTTTTTACCATACATATTTTTTGATTTGCACCCCCAGTATAGTCGACAAAGACGTAGTTCTACGTCAAAATATTCGTATCGAGTATGGTAACGCTTCGTAAAATACACGAATGTTAGGAAGTGAATGATTTTGGAAATTTAAACGAAACTAGTGGCTTAGCATGTACGAAAACTTTTCGTTGCAGACAACAACGAAATAATTCGTGAAACAAACGCTTTCGTTGTATAAACTAAATTTTATTTTCAGTACATGAACTCTGTTCTGAAAATCATGATTTAGATCCGGTAAACATAATTTATGTTCATGAGTTGGGCTTGATATCGTAAACCTGTTCTCGTAATTGGAAACTTGGTTCATAAACTGTAAAATGCCAACCATAAAATACTTTTCAATATTTTAAATGAAGTGAAGAAGTGGCAGGACAACAACGGAAGGCTTGATTCAGGTTTCATCAACACCCCAAACTGGCAGCAGGCATCTGTTCAGCAGATGGTATGGACACACTTTCTACTCAACAAATCAACAACACTGCACACTAAGAATATTTTACCGAAATCTCAACAGCTAAACGTTCGGTAAACAGTTCGGTGATTTTTCCGAGGGGGGTGACACATCTAAATCTCAATTCTAGATGCTCAAAAAATCAATCTTCGAAAAATCATCTTTCATTTCTCGCATCTACTTGCATCGTGCTTCATCTTTTTGCAGGAAATCTTCAAAATCGACATAAAACTTCCTTTTATATACTCAGCGTGCGTGCAGCTAGCCACAGCAAAACACAACCTTTTCTGCATCGTAGATAGAGTCGCCCCCCTCGGATTTTTCACAGATTTCCTGTAATTTTTCGCAGATATTCGATGAAAAATTACAGGAAATCTGTGAAAAATCACCGAACTGTTTACCGAACGTTCAGCTGTTGAGATTTCGGTAAAATTTCACAGATTTCGGTGAAACAATCTTAGTGTGTGGCATTGTGTTGGACCACCATTCTGACACACTATTCTCGCCGGATCCGAGCACTCTGCAAGGATAAATTCGACAACAACTGAAAATGACAGCTGCACCTTTGCATGTGATTCACGATTTTAGGAACGACAACCTTCCTTTGGTTTGTTTTTTCCGTCGATCTTGTTTTCCGTGCTGAGCACCAATGCTACCGACGTGCCAGGAAGGCACCTGGACCCTACCTATCGACTCATCAACTCATGAACAGGGGACCAACGACTTTACTTCCCTCAGATGATCAGAGATGTTATGCCTCAGAACATACCGGCGGCGCCGACTGGGATTGAACCCAGGCTTGCTGGGGTGAGAGGCAATCACGCTTACCACAACACCACCGGCGCCGTTAAACGAAAACCAAACTTATGGGTTGGATCACGGAATCATGATTTTTCTTTGTGTTTTATGTAGCGTTACGAAATCGTTGGGCACGCTGAACAGGCATGAAATAAGTTCATGGATTTGGGATGTATTTCAAGAAATTGTGATTGAGTCGATCACGTTTACGGGAACTATGTCATGAATTCAGACTAGCAGTTCCGGATATCATTATTTTTCGTTCACGAATAGGATTCTGCAAGCTGACGTCACGAGTGAACACGATGGTGCTCATCGTTTATGGGGCTTACACTTATACTATTTCACTAGCGCTAATGAGCTAGTTGCTAGCGAAAAAGCTCAATAGCATAATGTAAACAGGGCATCAGCGTCTACCAGCATGAAATTTCAGGAGCAACTGAAATTCGTGCTAGTTGGCGAGTACACTAGCGTGAGTAAATCCGCACAGATGTAAACACCCAATTAACATCCAGTAGTGGTTTGTTTACCTTTGCCTGTTAGTCGATTCAAGTGGATTTGAGTTTTAAAATGAAAATGAGTATGAGATATGTTATCCGGCTATGTTCTTGAAAAAAATGTCCCACTCAAAAAAAAAAAAAAAGTTTTAGTAAAAATTCTATTTGTTTAAGTCCATGTAAACAAACCACCACCAGATGTCAAAAGAGTTTTTTTTGCGTGTTTCGTTTATCTTCGTACAAACTGTGATACCAACATTCCAGTTTATACTGGGTTCTTCTAGTTTTTTTAGACTCATGCAGTCAAACAGATAAAGTTTGAAATCTTCCAGTATTTTGGTAATTCATCCAGTTTTATACAGTTTTTCATTATTAATGGCATCATATTTTGAAGTATTAATTAAAATGCTTTTAAACTTTAATTTTAGAATTGAAATCTGGAAATGCAATATTTGTTAACGGTCATAGTACCACACATGCAACATGCGGGGCGATGCTGTGATCAAGCTCGCTTCAAGGCATCGGGACAGGCGTGCTGTTTCACAGCATCGATACGCATATTCAAGGTTAGGTTTGCCTGACGCAGCAGATGAACGACCGGCATCCACAACGGCTCCAACCCAGCAGCATCGATAACTTCACCAACGGACATTGTACTCCAAAACGTTTCATGACACGAGAAACAGTAGATTCCCAACATCTTTCCGATGGCTCGGTGCGAAAAATGTGGGTTGTTGAGGTGAGTGTGCAAAATTTTCCCGCGCTGTTTCTTCGACTCCATTTTCAAACAATTCACGCTGAGGCTATCTCACCCAAAATTTCTTTAAAGTTAACCCAAAGGGTAAAATGTTACAACTTTTTGAAAGTGATGGAATTTAACTGTGGACATCCTTTATATAAAAAAATGCGAAATAAATTTTTAATGGATACTTGGAGCATTAGTTAGTGATACATTTATAAAACACTCCTGAAACTGCAACACTAACGGTCTTGGAACTCCCAAAAAGACTGACGGTCATTTTACAGAATGAAACTCTGGAACTGATGATGAAAACCCATTTTCCAGGGTCCGTTCCTACTGATGATCAACAACAAAATCATGTTTGCATGCAAAATGCCACATCTTCAGACCGTGGTGAACGTGATAGATCTACCGAAACAAATGTCTCACTATGTAGGCTAGAAATGTCAATAGAATATTTACTCTAAGTTCTTATAAATCCCCTGGCCCAGATGAAATTTTTCCAGCACATATTCAAAATTGTAAGCTAATCAAGGAGATTCAGTAGTGAAAGTAACAGCTACAAAAGGCTGTCCTCAAGGAGGTGTTCTTTCTCCCCTTCTGTGGTCGCTAGTTGTTGATGACCTTCATTAAAAACTTTAGCATCATGGATTCGAAATAATTGGGTTTGCGGATCATATTGTCATTATAGTCCGTGGAAAATTTGATAAAGTTGTTTTCGACAGAATGCAAAAAGCATTAAAATTCACACTATCGTGGTACAAAGATGAGGAATTGAATGTCAATCCTACAAAAACAACTAGTGTACCTTTTACTAAAAGACGTAAAATCTCTGTCACTGATCTTAAACTAGGAGACGTAAAGCTGTCACTATCTTTAGAAGTAAAGTTTTTAGGAGTAACTTTAGATAGTAAACTCTGCTGGAACAAACATATTGAGCAACAAGTAGGAAAAGCAACCAATGCATTTTGGACCTGCAAAAGAACGTTTGGAAAAAATGGGGTCTGAAGGCAAATATGATACACTGGATATAGGGGAAATGCAGGTAATGTCGGCCTAAGTGTCTCTAATTTGGGCCCATACATAAATTCAGCAATCGACTAAATTTTCAATAGCAACCAAAAATATCGATTAGTAACGTCCCAATAACGCGTTCATCTAGATAAAATTGATAAATATCAGATTTTTAGCGATGGGCCCAATCTTAGATCCATAGGCCAACATTAGAGACATTTCCCCTACTTTGCCATAGTTAAACCCAGGATTACCTACGCCTCACTTATATGGTGGCCAAAAACTAAGCAACAAACGGGACAAGTCAAACGAAACAAGCTACAAAGGCTTGCTACTATTTCCATAATTGGAGCAATGCGTAGTACTCCATCTACAGCCTTAGATACTTTAGTCAATATCCTTCCTCTTCATCAATTTATTCAAATGGATGCAGTTAAAAGTACTCTAAGGCTCAAACGGTCCATGAATTTCTTCGATGGAGATCTTATTGGACATTTGAGCATTCTAAAAGAGTTTCAGATAAGTCAACGAATATTGATAAACGAAGATTGTATGCTAAAGCGACATTATTTCAATCAAAATTTCCAAGTTCCTGATGTGACTCGTGATGACTGGGATGCAGGAAGACTGAACATTAGTCCTGGATCAGTAATTTTCTATATGGTCGGGGCTGGTATTACCGGCCCTGGGGTTGACTTCTCGGTGTCCATGGAAAAATAGTTGACAGTATTTCAAGCTTAAATATATGCTATCTTAGAATGTGCAACGAGTTGCATAAAAAGGAACTATAAAAATGCGAATATTTGCATTTGTTCAGATAGTCAAGCGGCACTGAATGCTTTGAAATCAAAAACTTACACGTCTAAACTGGTGTGGGAATGTACTAAACTATTACTGTCCTGTCGAAATACGGTTGACCTTTATTGGGTTCCTGGTCATTGTGGAATCAAAGGGAACGAAAAACCTGATGAATTGGCAAAAATAGGGTCATCCACGAAATTCATTGGTCCTGAACTATTTTTTGGACTTTCTTTTTGGGCTTTAAAAATGGAGCTAAAAAACTGGGAAAAAAACAAACTGGACCAGTACCTTAAATTCTCGGCAATCTAAACGTTTTATAAAGCCGAACGATTTGCATACCCAAAAATAACTTAATCTTTCTAAAAAAGATTAGAGTAGATACGCTGGTTTGATTACAGGACACTGTCCTTCTAAATATCACCTGAAAATCATTGGTAAACTTCATGAAGATAAATATCGCTTTTGTAACTTAAAGAGTGCAAGCTCGGAACTTTTGCTGTGTGACTGTGTTGCACTTTTTCATAATCGATGCAGATATCTTGATAAGGGTCTGATGAGACCTTGGAAAATCTGGGCTGCTGCTCCCAATCAGGTAATAAATTTCAAAAGGAATATATTACCTGGTTGGGATAATTGCTTACAAGTAGTGGTAGTTACTCAAACAATAGTGGCTTACAACTACGTTATGGCATAATTAAAAAAAAAGATATACCACAATAGATCAAAGTAATGGTCGCGGTAGAATTATTTCCCCAACATAGGAAAAAAAAGTGATACATTTTCTCAAATGACAATGTCGATTATATTGGATTCCATTTGTCAATGTTTATTGATCAAATAAATAGATTTGTAATGGAAAATTTTGAGATCTTTTCCATTTAAAAATGTTAACAATGCTTAATAATACTACAACTACTTATAGTATTGATCAGTTTTGATTTAAAGATTTTCGGATCTTTGACGTTTGTTTAAAAGTGAAGTCTTACTAAATACACAAAAAAAAACTTAGGTAAAACATATTTGAAAAGTTCCCAAATTTGCATGTTTGCAAGACAATACAATTTTCATGAGGATCCAGTTTTCTTCCAATGTGCCCAAACAATTCAGCCATTTCTGAAAACTGTTAGCAACCCTGCGTACAACTGTAACATTATGCAACTGATCGACTAGGGAAGCGACTCCACGCCTAGACCCTAGAACTTATCAACAAATCCAACGGCGGTAAACGCCGATGGTGAATTCAAAATCCATGCACCGTCAGCGCAAAACAGCACGTTACGATAAATATAAACAAAATCTGCGAGATCATCGGGATGCCGCATCACCTCAGCCGCTATTTCAATGCTCACGGCAATTTGTATTTTACTTTTCTCCGATGAATCATCCAACCTGCTGGCGTCGGTAGATGCCGTTGAATTACTGTTTTATTTTCTTTCACGACTCGCTTTGCACCGTCGTCCATCGTGAATGAACTACAGCGTCTCGCCCTGCGCTGGGTCTTCCCACTAAATTTAGAACTCGGATGACATTGTAACACTTTTGCCAACCGTTTGCGATGTTGTTGGTCGCCCATCCCTCGTTCTTGATTAATCATCCATGTAAATGTGGCAAAGGAGGAAAAACAACGTTTCACTGTCACGTCACCGACGGGTCCTTGTCAATTTTCAAATTAAATGGAAATAAATTTCCTTGTTCTTGGAAGAGGATGATAAATATTTTTCTTTTCCTGCGGAAAATCATCGTTGATACTTACTGCGATCCAACGACGAATCTCGCTCCCGTTCCAGGTCGTTTAGCAGAGTGTCGAGTTGATTAATGTTGCGCTGGTAAACCTCGCTGACCCCTTCGGTGCCTGCCGTGGGTGCTCCCCCGGTGCCGGTACCGCCGCCGCTGCCAGAGGTGCTACTGCTCTTGTATTCGTACTTTGCCGTTTTGTATACCTTGCGGTCGTTCTAAACCGGCGGTGGCACGCGTGTTGCAATTCGAAAAATAATCCATTCGTGGGCGGTGCAACGGGTCATGAAATGAGAGCAGAAAATCGTTCAGACTGGGCGAGTGCATGGTAGGATGGTTCAAAAGACTATAGTGTATCAAAATGATGTCTGGCCTAACGGACCACCCTAACACGTTCCATACTGTTCATACCATTAGGCCATGTACTAAAACTAAATGAGAAACACTCGCTCTTGTGCAACCTTGACCGGTCGAGGGGCGACCACACAGTGAATTGCATACATATCCAGGTAAGGTACCTGTAAGAGATACTAACCGTTTGGAAGCTGGGACTGATGGAGCGCTCCCGGGCCACGGTGGTAACATTGGCTGGCTGCAGGTATTGCACTTCACGGGTCGTTGTCGAGTAGCCTCCGGCGAGGGGTTGCCCTAATGAACTGCCAGGGCGGGATACACTGGCCTGCAGGTCTTCCAGGAGATTATCTACGCGCAATGGAAAAGAAAAATAGAGAAAGGGTGGTAGAAGCATAAATTGAAACCTGACTTCTAGTTACTGGCAAGAGAGATGTAATACCAAGAGCACAGAAAGCAAAGAAAATATTAGTTCAGGTGGAAAATTTCCCTGCCAAACAGAGAAGCCTGTGTTTGTTCTATTTAGTCAGGAGCAAATGAATGAACATTCCGGTTGGACTGTTGCATTCATTCATATTTTTTTTCTGTTCCGTTTGATGGAATGAAAACGAAGCGAACATGTACCCTGAACATGCTAAAAGAAAGTAACTGTGTAAGGTTCGGTTGGTTCGAACAATTCCTGGTATTCAGAGATGTGGTTCAGAAGGTGCGGCTCACTCCCGATGATGGAAATGAAAGGTTATATTTTTGATTACACGGCACGATCCGGTAAGATGGCATGTTTTTGATCTAGGTTGAATTGGAACGAGTTCTAGGTATATGAGGGGAGTAAAAAATATGAATGCTTATATTTTAATTTATTTCACACGATTTTTGCACACGAAGTAAAGATTCCATGTTTGTTGTTGATTAACTTTTAAACCCCCATCGTCTAAAGACTGTTCCATTTCAATTAAATATTTGCAGAATAAAAAAGATTTTTTTTTCTAAATCCTTTTAAACTCGTCAACATTTGAGGAGTTTGCTGTTTTTTTAGATGGATAGACACAACACCGGTTTAAAAATCGTGGATTTATGCTAGTTTTAGCATTTTTCAGTATCAGACGTTGGGGGTTTGAGAGTTAAAGATTGTACACATCAAAAATTAGTCATGGCAAAAATCTTTCGCCTAAATGTTGATGGATATCATGTTGATAACATATAGCCAGCTTTGAACCATCCCATTTAAAGAAGTCAAATAGATTTTGCAAAAATCCTTTTTTCCAGAAATTTGTTTCTTTTGAAAACCATATTTTGCTAGCATTTGGATTTCTTTTCTTTATTTTAGGCTTAGATCATGATTTAATGATTCCTCTCAACAAAAATAAAAATGGTAGTAGAGAGTAGTAAGTTAGTAAGATAGATATGAGTATTTTAAAAATTGGATTTTCTTAAAGAACACTCCTTATGCAGAAACCTTATCATTCTCCGGTAATTTTTATCGAGCCTTTATACTAAAAATGAAAGTATAAAAATGAACGTGCTCATACTATCTCAAAACTTTAACAAATAGGGGATGGAAAACCGCTATCAAAAGCGTTGACATTTAATTTTCATGACTCAAAGATAGTTAATGATCATTTGAAAATTTGTTCTGGTAAGTATTAGGATTTCCCAGACTGTTATTTTTTTTCCATGGTGTTTATTTTGAAGACTCATTGCCTCTAGAAGCTAAAAGAAGCCGAGGGACTAACATTTGTTGATGTACATTTAGGGGGATTGAGTTCTTATTATTTCTTCTTCTGCATAGCTTCGTACTGCTAAAGATCATTCCAATGCTTCTGCCGTTGCTGGATCCAGGTCAGTTGAGGTTTGGTTTCGATTTCAGTTACAGGGGTGGCCACGTCCATTTTCATCACCTCTTCATGCAGCACATCTATCCCTTTCTCTGTTTCTTGGCTGCTGCAGTCCGACGATGCACCTCCAGCAGCTACACCAGCGTACGAACTGCTTTATCGTCCTCTTTTTCTACATCCTGCTTTTGGATGTGGTTGCTTTCAAAGCTGCTGCTGTTTACGGTCCCTCCGCTTGGGGCAGAAATTCATCCGGTGCCCCTCCGCCTTTGAGAGGAAGCATTTATCCTTATCTTTCGAATATAATTTATTCCCCTTCTGAAGCGAGGAAATTAAGCAAGGATCGAATCTCCTTTTCCACGACCATGTAAACACCTCGCACTCTTGTGAACATATCGAGGCCCAATGGGACAGGTAATTTTTCCTGAATGACACCCTTCACTTTCCGGTAATTTGCTAGCACCAACCTTAGATCACAATCTTGTACTTCTGTTGGCAGATCGTACGCTCGCACGTATTGCACGTTGCCTCCGGCAGCGACATTCGTACCTCAACTGGCTTTACATTAGCATATTGGAAAGTTAGTTGCTCCGGGTTATGCACTAGGGCATAATGCTTGCTTGCTTCAGATTTGAACTTTATGAAGATCGTCTTCTCCTCAACAATTCGATATGTGGCCTATATGTCACCATGATTTGCCTCTAATGATTTAACGATGTTTACAATCTCGTCCAAGATTGGCCTTGACCTCCCATATGGTTTTTCCTATCCATATGGGAGGTCAAGGCCAATCTTGGACGAGATTGTAAACATCGTTAAATCATTAGAGGCAAATCATGGTGACATATAGGCCAAATATCGAATTGTTGAGGAGAAGACGATCTTCGTAAAGTTTGCTTTATCTCAACTATTGTTGTCGACAATTTTGCTCCAATAGTGCCGGCAAAGAGTTACTGGCCGAGCTGCAGGCGATTAATAAAGCGCACGAAAACAATATGGGCACCGAGTTAACAACCGTTGATAGCGTGATCAACACCGAGAGCAACAAATGTAGCTGTGTCCACAGCTGAAAACAAACTGACTTTTAATTTGATTTGTGCAAAAAAAAAAATGCATTTTTTAATCACTTTGTGCAACACGCATTAGTGCCTTTGTTTAGTTTTTCGACGCAATTTGTTTAAAGTTTGTGTGCGCTCGGAAAAATGTATACGAACTCGTCGATGGTTTTGAACAATTTCTGATGTGTACACAAATTATTTAGATACAAATTGTCGGAGCCTTCAAATAAAATCTTCAAGCTTGCAATTTTAAATGTGTACAAATTTCCAAAGATCGCAAATTATTTTAAACCTCAAATCTCAAAAACATCTAGTGCCGTAGAGCTTAGATTTTTTTTTGTTTAGTATCTTCTTAACTAGCAAAGTGCAAGGAACTTTAGATGCTAAGAAGTCTAAGACATTTGATTTATTTTAAGTTAGCAAGGCTTAAAAGTCCTGCCTTTTGAATATTTCTGTTAACCATGCACCTACGGGATATTGATATAAGATCTCAATTTTTTAAATAAAAACTTATCTGAAGTCTCAGTATCTAAATTTTTCTCCAAGTCAGAATTACCTTGGAACTTTTTATGGGGTTTGTTCAAGAATTTCATTAAATTATCTAATAAATTCATCTCGGAACTTCAACGCTCTTTGGTAATATCCACATAATTTTCTTCAAAACACTCTAGAGATTATATACAGAAAACTATTGAAATTTACTCAGAAATTTGCTTCCAATTTCTACCAATTCAAGCAGAAAATTCTCCTCAAAATTCTTCTGATTCCTTTGGAGTTTTTCTCAGTAGTACTAAATACGGTCAAAATTTGGTCAATATCAACTTGACGTATTTCTTTCAATTTTGCATTTAAAAAACCTGAACACCCCTCATTTTGAAGGTGTGTGTGTGTAGAATGTTGCTCCTATTTTGATTTTGGAATTCACTCTTCAGTTGTCAAAATGCCGTCCAAGCAAGAAGAGCAGCGTATCAAAATTTTGCTCGCGCATCGCGAAAATCCGAGCTACTCGCACGCAAAGTTGGCAAAATCGCTAAAAGTTGCCAAATCAACCGTTACAAATGTAATTAAAGTGTTTGGGGAACGTTTGTCGACAGCCAGGAAGTCTGGATCGGGGGGAAATCGAAAACCGGAAGCCGCTGAGACGACAAAGAGAGTTGCCGGTAGTTTCAAGCGAAACCCTAACCTCTCTCTCCGAGATGCCGCAAATAAGCTGGGTGTATCGTCTACAACCGTGCATCGAGCCAAAAAACGAGCCGGACTATCGACTTACAAGAAGGTAGTGACTCCAAATCGCGATGATAAACAAAATACGACGCCCAAAGCGCGATCCCGGAGGCTGTACACGACGATGCTGACGAAGTTTGACTGCGTGGTAATGAACGACGAAACCTACGTCAAAGCCGACTACAAGCAGCTTCCGGGACAGGAGTTTTATACGGCAAAAGGAAGGGGAAAGGTAGCAGATGTTTTCAAGCACATGAAACTGTCAAAGTTCGCAAAGAAATATCTGGTTTGGCAAGCCATCTGTACCTGTGGCTTGAAAAGCAGCATTTTCATAGCTTCCGGGACTGTCAACCAAGAAATTTACGTGAAAGAGTGTGTGAATAAACGTCTGCTGCCTTTCCTGAAGAAACACGGTTGTTCCGTACTGTTTTGGCCGGATTTGGCATCTTGCCATTACGGTAAAAAGGCCATGGAGTGGTACGCCGCCAACAACGTGCAGGTGGTTCCCAAGGACAAGAACCCTCCCAACACGCCAGAGCTCCGCCCAATTGATAAATACTGGGCTATTGTCAAGCGGAACCTAAAGAAGACCAAAAAACTGCTAAGGGCGAGCAGCAGTTCAAGGCAAACTGGCTTTCTGCGGCGAAGAAGGTGGACAAGGTGGCTGTACAAAATCTGATGGCAGGGGTCAAGCGTAAGGCCCGGCAATTCGGATTTGGAAAAGCGGAAGCCTAACTCAATATTTTTCCTGAATTTTATACTAATTGAACTTGAAAAAGAAATTTAATTTGATTTTTTAAATAAACGATTTCACCGATTTACACGCGTTTTCCCTTGTCAAATTTTGACCGTATCACCCTTTATTTTTTTATAATTACTTTATTTTATTAGGCACAATCGAATACACTTTACAGTGCCGAGATTTCTCGTTCACTGTACAATGCATCTTAAAACTATAGTCATGAGGTACAATACAAAAAAAAAACATTTTATCTTCAACTATCCAAAAAGATTCCTCCATTTCAAGGTATGGCAACATCGCCAAAGAGGGCATAGCTCTTCCACTGCAACGCAAATCGTGGTCTTCACTCACACATTCATCACGAAACGGTTGCTTTTCAACGTCGACGACGCATCGATCGAAAGAACTGCAGATGAAGAACAATGAGCACCACACAATGGTCGCTGCCGAGTATACAGCCCAAGTAACATTGATAGTTTTATTGCTGTTTAAAAA